AACTGATGACCACAACATATTGCAAAATATCAAAATAGGAAAAATTATACAGTTTAACCTCACACTGAAGAGAAAACAAGAACGACACAGAGAAGTAAAATAGTACGTCATATAGAACTGAGATAAAGTAATCTGAGAAGGAATTCATACGTTATATACAACTTAAAAATATATTATTATGAAAAACGAAAGGAATGGTGGACCCCCCCCCCCCCCCCCCCCCAATCCACACCCTCAAAATCAATAAAAATTAAAAATCAACAAATACCACACACACACACACACACACACACACACACACACACACACACACACACACACACACACACACACACACACACACACACACAAGTAACTAAATGTATAACTCAGAAAAAATAAAGGAGATAAAAAAATGAATAAAAAAACACGTAAACAAATTAACATTAAAACTATTGGCAACTGCATGGCAATTATTTATGAAACGACCGGGGGAGGAAATATTCTGGGGGGAGATTTTATTTCGTAGGGGCGGATTTGTACCGGTATAAATTTGCCGGGGGGGGGGGAGATTTTATTCTGGGGGCGAATATATTTCGTGACACCGAGACAAGTCATTAATACATTGGACTCAAATAGATAATACAGTGAAGTCAAATTGTGCCCTTGTAGTTAAGGATTACCAACAGCATTCAGATAGGCAGGACACAGATACTAATGATAAATAGAGGTGTGGCCGAGGCCCGGATTATCGCTGTGTTACTAAATCAATTTCAGATTTCTTGTTCTGGAACATTTCCGGTATTACTAATAAACTTCTAGACGATGAATCTGTTTCATATATCACACAGTTTGACTTTATTGGACTCACAGAAACATGGGCCAAGGACTGTGATTTTGATCAACAGCTCGGTGATTACCAGCCATATGTTTTGTCTGCAGAGAGATTGTCATCTTTTGGGAGATTATCGGGGGGGATTGTAGTACTTATTAGAAAGTCTCTAGTCAATTATGTCAAAGAGCACATTATTGGACAGAATGTGATATATGTTATTTTGGATACATCGGTATTTAAGCTAGAAAAAGATGTATTGGTAGCTTGTGTTTATGTCAATCCTGATGGGTCAACTTGGTACAGGGGTAAACCAACAAAATGTGGAATAAGTTTATTATTTGAATCCTTGTTAGATGTTATACAAAAATATGGTGATATGTTTATCATGCTTGGAGGTGACTTTAATTCCCGAACCGGTAATGAGCCCGATGCCGCAGAGAGTAATATTGCTGAAAGGCTTGGCATCCAGGAACCTTCTGATATTTATGGCAACGTGATCACCAAACGTTTCTCTTGTGATACTACTGTTAATCGCCTTGGTAAGATTTTACTAAACGTATGTAGTGCTTTGAATTTGTGCATTTTCAATGGCCGATGTGGATCAGACGCGGCAAAAGGTGACTATACCTTCATCAGCCACAATGGCACAAGCGTAATCGACTATATTGTTGCATCCCCTTCATTGTTTATGTTGTGCAGTTTGACATTGCAAATAGAACAGAGTCGACCCATATGCCAGTTACATGTTCATTTCACGCACGTGCCAAAGCTGGATCGAGAGACCGTGAGCGTGTTGCACGAGACCCAGGGGACAGCTACCGCTTTGTGTGGAACGAGGACAAAACTCAAACTTTTAGAGACAGTTTACTGTCTACAAATTCTATTTCAATACTTGACAAGTGTTCAGATTTTATCGCTTCAGGTAAAATTGATAAAGCAGTTGAGGTATTTTCAGATGTTTTATGTACCGCTGCGAAATGTATGAAACGCCCTTCTTATATTTCTAGAAGTAAACAGCCATGGTTCGATAAGGAGTGTGAATACCACCGCTGTGGAAGATATAGGCTTCTTAAGGTTTTCCGATCACTAAAAGATTCGTCATCACTTTGTAACTATATTAAGGCAAGAAATACTTATACACATGTTATCCGTGAAAAAAAGAAGTTATATCAAGACAATATACAGAGTACCATGTTGACTAACTTGGATAACAGTAAAATATTTTGGGCAAATTTGAAACGTCTGTCTGCTACCACTGTCCGTCCTAAGCCAAATATAAATATTGAGCAATGTTTTTCACATTTTAAGGGGTTGTTCGATTCAGAAATGGGGGATGAAGATAACACTGTGCCAGATAACAATTTTGATGACTTAACTCAATCTATCTTAGACTCGCCAATTGAACAGCAGGAGGTAATTGAGGCAATTAACAAATTGAAAACAGGCAAAGCTGCCGGCAGTGATAAGCTTATTGCTGAAATGTTCAAATACGCATGCGATGTGTTAGTTCCCTACATTACCTGTCTGTTAAACGTTATGTTTGATTCCGCTTATTTTCCGATTGCCTGGTCGACTGGCCAAATTGTACCATTACACAAGAAAGGGGATACTAATACACCCGATAACTACCGAGGGATTACAGTATTAAGTATTTTTAGCAAGTTATATATTTCTGTTCTAAATAGAAGGTTGCAGTCTTGGTGTGATGCCTATGATAAAGTTGTGGAGTCGCAAGCAGGATTTCGTTGTGGCTATTCCACAATTGATAATATGTTTATTTTACAGTCAGTTATAAAGCGTTATCTGGGGAAGAAGCGAGGTAAACTATATGCTTTATTTGTAGACTTCTCCAAAGCTTTCGACTCTATAAACAGATCAAAACTATGGATACTTTTGAATAACAGTGGTGTGTCACCTAAAATGTTTAAATGTATACAATCCATATATACGACGGTACGTTCCTGTGTAAAGTTTAACAATAACTTCTCAGATGTATTCGATTGTGACTTGGGTGTCCGTCAAGGCTGTGTACTGAGCCCGTTTTTGTTTTCATTGTTTATCAATGCTCTAGCTGTTGAAATTGAGGCTAACTGTGAACCCGGAATCAAGCTCCATCCAGACATAATTCAACTATTCCTGCTACTCTTTGCTGATGATGTAATTCTTATATCAGATACTGTATATGGCCTCCAAAAACGCATCGATGTACTCGAACACTATTGCCAGAATTATTTCCTAAAGGTAAATCTTGATAAGTCGAAAATAGTAGTTTTTAAGAATGGTGGTGTACTTTCTAGATCTGAGAAATTGTATTTCAGTGGTTGTCAGTTGGAATGTGTATCATCGTACACATATTTGGGAGTTGTATTTTCAAAGAATTTATCATGGTCGAAACATACTTACAATGCTTCATTACAGGCTAAACGGGTATTGTTCTCGGTTCTAAAATCCCTTTCATCACTTAAACCTATTCCACTGAAACTATTTTTTAAAATATTTGATACTAAAATTGCTCCAATTATGTTATATGGGGCTGAAATGTGGAGTTTTGAAAACTGCAAAGAAATAGAAAGTATCCATGTACTTGCTTGTAAACATCAACTAGGTGTTAAAACGTCTACTCCCAATCATGTTGTGCGAGGAGAGTGTGGAAGATACCCACTGTACATTTCTGCGTATAAACGCTGTATAAAATATTGGTGTAAACTTATGTCCCTACCAAATTCACGATATCCTAAGAAAAGTTATGATATGTTATTTCAGCTAGCCACACATGGTAAAACTAATTGGGCTACAAAAGTCAAAACTCTTTTATACAGCCTTGGATTTGGATATATATGGGAGAACCAATATGTTATTTGACCCGAATCATTTATTTCCGAATGTGAAGATCGGTTAAAATTTGCTTACGAACAGGACTGGCATTGGTCTTTAGCAAATAGTTCTAAAATGTTCCATTATACACTTTTCAAAAATTCATTCAGTCTAGAGTTGTATTTGTCTGCTATCACTATCAACAAATTTCGTGTTGCACCAACCCAGTTTCGCTGTAGCTCCCACACTCTCCATATTGAGACTGGTAGATACGTTAATACTCCACGAGAGCAGAGATTGTGCAATAGTTGCAACCAAAGATATGTCGGGAATGAATATCATTTTTTATTAATTTGTAACGCTTATGATGAACTTCGTTATATGCGCTTGTGTTGAGAAGTCAATCATGCCTTATTGTACGATGATATAGATAAAGATCTCCTACTGATAGTAGCGCATGCTCCTTCTTGTTGGTCGACATAGGATAGTGTTACAAGGAAACCGATGTTATTAGAACGTTTAGAGCAGTGGTTGTATGATAGTCAAAGCATTGATGCAGACGCTCATATTCAGTTGTGGGGGATTTTAACGCCGGAGTCGGCTGTGGAAATCAGCCTCCTGTTTTTGTACATAATGAAGCGATCAGAGATTTTTTTCAAGATGAGCCCGAGCTCCAGAAGATGAGCCCGTGAGAGATATTCATGTCATGGTTGTGTAAATAGATTTGGAAATTTACTTTTAAATTTTTGCTTTATATTTAGATTATATATACTCAGTAGTCGTGTTGCCGGAGATAGTGGTGGTTCTTTAACTTACATCTCTACTTTTTAGCTACTACAAAAACATAACAGTAGACAACAGAATTGAGAGCAAGCATATGCCCGTAGTCTTATATTTCAAAGATATTGTAAAGGATATCATACCAGTAGAAAACATACCATGTCCTGTAAAGTATGGCTGGAATAAGTTGCATGCTGACACTTTTATAGCCACCATGATGGCCCTAAAACACTATGTTACAGATATTGTTAATATTATATAGAGAGAGAGAAGTTAATGAAGCTTTAGACATGTTTGTCAGTTGTATATATAGATCAGCGCAGTGTATTAACAAGAAAGTTGTCATTAATTCCAGAAAGTTTGATTTTTATGGACCGGACTGTCACATAGCATAGATGGAAGCCAAGCGTAGTTCAATACACTTAAAAAATGACAAGAGTTCTTCAAGCAGAATACAATATTGTAAGTTGAGAAACAAATACAAGAGTACCTGTAGATACTGGCAACGTGAGTGCCAACAGAAAATAGGGCAAAGGCTTTAAGACAAGGATGTATGCTGATCCCTGTGCTATTTACATTATTAATAAAAGAATTAGCTACAGATGTTACGGCAAATGGAACTCATGGGATTCTACTCTTTCCAGATATAGTAGAAGTATTAATGTTGTTATTTGCTGATGATGTAATTGTCGTTTCTGATACTATATGTGGTTTACAGCGTCAGATAAATATTTAAGATACACATGCAGATAAGTGGTGAATGACTGTTAACTTGCACAGATCAAATGTTATTGTGTTTAGAAGAGGAGGAAACGTATCAGTTAAAGCTAAAGTTTGGCGTTATAGAGGTCAAGTTTTAGAGGTTGTTAATACTTATCGATATATAGGATTAGTCTACACTTGTAAGTATAGCCTCAGTTAATATGTTGCTGATCTAGTCCTACGTGCCAAAAAGGCTTCATTTGAGTTACTTACAACAACAAGAACAATATCAACTACTGCCCCCAAAGTGTTCTCAAACTTATTTGATTGTCAGATTAGTCAGATTCTTTTGAAATCATCTGAAATTTGGGGGATCAATAGATCTGAGAGCGCAGAGACAATCCACTTACTGGCTTATAAAAACTTGACCACATATACCAAATGCTATAGTTTATGGTGAATGTGGCCGATATACAATGTATATAAACTCACTTGTTCATAGTGTTGGATACTGGTGTAAAATATTATCAATATCATGAGGACCCCCAAGAAGCCTACAATATATTACTTTATTTGGGTGGCTACTGAGTAGGACCCGGGTACCCACAGAACATTGTTTAATGACAAAAAATATGCACCCATTCCATCTGACTTTAATATGGTTGAATAAAGATATAACTTAAGTCAACTTCAGTGTATGCATGACCAGAATGTTTAATTCATGTGTCTCAATACGTTTTGCCAGGGTTATGGTAAAAAGATTCCCAATCGGACATTTTGTACCTATCTCTTGAGGCCTACAGTGGGTATCCGGGGAGGGTCGGGTAGTAGGGGGTGGGTACCCGGGTTGTAAATCTTGACTCGGCCCAGCCCTAATAGTTATCATGCACGGAATGGGGTTCATTTAACTTCAATGAGTTACACATATCCCCATTTCATTACCTGAATAGAATTGACATGCATCATTGTTATAGGGAATAGCAGCCTTATGAATACACCGGGGATGAAGGAACGTAGGGTGTTCAAATCCATGAAGTATTGACGACGCTTCCACCAAAGTCACCTTTGTTTTTCTTCCTTCTTCATTCTGATACGCCATGATATAACTACAATACTGTTCAAACTGGCTACTCTTTTGGCTTGGATTATTCAAGTTCTTGTGGTACGAAGTCTGGAATATCCTCTGGAATATAATTTGCGAAAACCTCATCTTTGGTTTTATGTTGTATTTCTGATACTCTTTTGAAAAACATATCCTCAAAGTCTCCTATTGGGGGGTCGTAGTTGCCGTAGACGGTGATCCTGTAGAGGAGGATGTCGATGATGTACATCAGGTGGTACGAGACGTAATGGAAGCTGATGGATAACTGACTGCAGCACTCCGGACCCTGAAACAGGCAAGTGTTCTATGGTGATAGGCATCTCTCTGAACCCGGAAACAGACAAGCATGTACTGTGACAGACATCACTCTCTAGACCCTGAAACAGAAAAGCGTTACAATTGAAACAGTCTGTTTTATAACTAAAATTGTTGCGGGGAATTAACTCCGGGATCTCCACGCCTTCAAAAACAGACAGAGAGGTTCTCAGGCAAAATGCAGGAATGTTTGTTTTATATGATATTAAATAGGCAACAAACATACATTTAAACAAAATCTACTTATTCCATTTCATAGTTAATAGTTAGGACAACATAATGAGCAATTAACTGGTATCAGTTGAGTATCAGGCTCAAACTACTCCCCTCGTTCTATATCCGATTCTTGAGTATCAGGCTCAAACTACTCCCCCTGTTCTATATCCGATTCATGAATATCAGGCTCAAACGACTCCCAGTTTTCTATATCCGATTCTTGAGTATCAGGCTCAAACTACTCACAGTGGTTGTGAGATTATAACTACCATTTGTTAGATCTGTCAAACAGACTATCCACTCACACTTCCTTTTAAAATCTTAGACACACATTTGTATTATATGAAACTCGGTAAAGTTTGATTCACAAACATCAAATGCCACGTTGTACAGCTTATTAGGTAGGTAAATATATCTGATGTTATTTACTCAGTTTATAATGCGCAGTTACCGAGATATAATGTATTGTAATTGGTGAATCGCTGCATTAAAAACAATAGGTAACATTAATAAGACCATTAGTTTTCGTGTATAAAGAGACATAAGTGTATCAACCACCTATTACCCAATAAAACAATGACCGCGCAATGACTTCGTACACAAACTTCAAAAAGGAAACTTATTATCATATCACATTAGGTAAATTAATAGTTTTCATGTGTTTGAAAAATATAGATTTCCATTAATTTTGTTTCATAATGATCGTGCATACATATCAACATATTACATGAAGAAATAAGATTGTCAAACAGGTCAAGGTGCCAATATAATTATCTTTCTTAAAAATATTACAGCCATTACAATCAAACATCAGATGCAGTATTATTTGAAAACTCAAAGTTAGTAAATCAAACAGAATAATGAATACAAATCTTTCCTAAGTTAAAACAATATTGCAGTAAAGCGTCAATATCGCATCATATCCAGCCAGTATGTCAGAAAATAAAGATGCTGATGTGTAACAGTATTTAAAAAGTTTAAACGAAATGACATGATAATGTCCTTAAAATTCATCACATAAAATCTTATTATGCAAAAACTAAATGCGGTGCTATTATCGAAAATACTGTGCTGTATCATCGAAAATATATTATTTGTGTACGACAGACTGTTGCACAATTAGTGTCAAAACATTTGTATTCTTGAAAACAAATGGGGGAGTCATTTGAACCTGGGGAGTTATCTGATCCACGATTTCGTATCCCCAAAGTTCGGAGCCGTATGTTAGAATGGGCAGAACCATGCTATCAAAAATCTTTAGTGCAGTCGTAATTGGTAAGCCACCACACATAGAGTGCAATCTGTATATGATTAAGCATACTTTCTCCGCCTGCTTTGCCAACACCTGTTTCGATCTCGTCCAAACTAGTTTAGGTGTAAAATATAGACCAAGATATTTCTAGAAGGAGACGGTTTCGATCTGAGAGCCCCTGTAATACCATTTTTCATACTGCCGTAGTTATCCACCATTTCGGAATACAATAATCTTCGATTTTTGTATATTTAGGTTTATACCCAATTTTTCACAAAAGTTGCTAACGTAATATATTTGTTCTTGGAGTTTGCCTGCGGAATCTGCAGAGTTACCAACATCATCAGCATAGAGAAGTGAACATATATTAGGATAATATCCAGATATGAAAATGCCTCTACAGTTTGAAGAAGCCATCTCAGTAACCAATTCGTTGATGTAAAATGAAAATAACAGCGGGCTGACCATACATCCTTGGCGAGTACCAGCCCAGCACTGAAAAAAGTCTGTGAGACCTTGATCTGTCTGTACACAAGTCTGTAGTTTTGAATACATATTTCTTAAAACAGTTAAAATATTTCCATCTATTCCACAGCTAATAAGTCGATGCCAAAGTAAAGTGTGATTTACGCAATCAAAGGCTTTTGAGAAGTCTATGAAGAAAACATATAATCTGCCACCTGTTGATTTAGAGAGGTATTTTTTAATCATCCCCTAAAGAGAAAACATGTTGTCCACCGTCGAATAACCTTTCCTGAATCCAGCTTGATTTTCATAAATAACATCATTTTCATGAGACCAATTTTGGTCTTTGGTTTAATATTTTGGTGAAAACCTTTCCAATCACTGGTAATAGAGAGATTCCTCTGTAGTTGTTTGGATCAGATAAAGTGCTTTTTTTATGAAGAGGGCATATGATTGCCTTGCACCAATCAATCGGGAAATTCCAAGTTTTCATTATTTCATTAAACAATTGAAATGAGGAATGTTTAAGTAATTCCGATGGAATTCCATCGCAACCTGCAGCTTTATGACATTTAACTTCCTGAAAGGTTATGTCTCTATTAAGTTGATCAGGTAGTCCTTCATTGCAATTGTTACAATGTGAATCATGCTCGAATAAATGTTAATAACTTTATCTATAATAATCGACCTGTATTCAGTAACTGTTTAAAGTAATTATGCCATTCAGTGCCACTGACTTTGATACCTGTAGAAGACGAGTTGGTCTTTTTTAAATGATTTAGTAGATTGCCACAGTTCATCAGGATTGACACGAATACTAAAAAGTTTATCTCTGATTTCTTGCCGAAAAGACGATTTACAACCATGACACACTGATTTAAATATTCGCTTCTTTTGTTTATAAATTTGCAAATCAAGTGAAGCGTCAGTCAATCTAAATTTTTCAAAGGCCCGATACTTTTCACACTTGGCTGTCTCACACTGCATGTTCCACCACGCGGGCTGTCTGGCGGGTATAGAGTCACGTGACCCATGTCGTCTGCTCACTGAAGCTGCTGCCCGCTCGAAAAGATGGGATATCTTATTGACGGCGTTATCAATATCCTTATAAATTTCATCACTAATAACCTTCATCAGTGATTTTGAAACATCATCAGTGATTATTTTATCAGAGACTTTTTGGCAGCTATCTCTCCAAACGCATCTTTCTATGTAGAGGGTGTCAGTAACATGTCACTGGCTCTATCCATAAGCTTAGTGTTAATATTCAATTCACAAATAATAGGAAAGTTATCAGATTCGTCCAGACTCAGCAAGCATATAATCCACTGTGCTACGTCCATTGTTTGCAGTACATGTGTAATTACCAACCTAATCCCCGGAAAACCTTCCATTAAGAAATTGAACACAATATATACAGCAAATTTCAAGCAGCCTTCTACCAAAGTTGTTTACCTCTTTATCTCTGTTTTTACGGGGTAGTGAAAATCCATCGCTGTCATACCAATCACTAGCAGGTAGATATTCTGCATTGTCATCAATAATGTAGTCTTCTTCAACACCTGTTCTACAACTAAAGTCTCCTATTAACAGTAATTCTGCATCACATGTATTATTCATTTCATAAAGTGTTTCTTCAAGAATATCGAGACTGTCTTTATCTGTTCCCTCATAGAAGGTTGAGTTTTCTGGAGAGATGTAGAGAAATCCAACAATTACATCTGTTTCCATATTGAACTAGTTTCCATCCAAAAGAATGTAAACAGCATCCGGAACACATTGTACAATTCTCTTGACACCATAGCATGTAGACTGGTGAATAAACACACCTATTCCCCAATGTCTACCTTTACTTCTACAGAAGTAAAACACCTTATAGGAGGAAAGAAAGTCACACAGTTCTGAATGTGAATAGCACCATGTCTCTAACAAACTGACAATGATGTATTGTGAAAAATATCGTTAATGTTACTGTTATGTTTATACTGTTTCAATGACTGACAATTCCAAGAGAGAATATTGAAATTGTTTATGCAGGAAGAATGGGTAGACTTTGTATCAATCAAACCCTGGCCACACCCCTATTTCAGTTCAATGAGTTCCTCTGTTTCAATATTTATATCAAAGAGTTTATTGTCAATCATTAACTTGTCAAAGCGGAGATAGGCTTCCTTACTGTCTTTCCTGGCATCAAGCACATGTGTGATAAGTTTCCTCCTCTTTTGTCTCACTGTGAAGCTGTAGTCCTCGCTCATCTTGAATGGAGACTGCTTCAGCTTGTCCCTGGCACGGAATAGAATGTCTGACTTGGTCTTACTACTGGTAAGCTTAACCACTATTGGTCGAGACTTACCCCCAGACCTCTTCCTACCCACTCTGTGTGCTCTGACTATCACAACTTGATTCCCATCCTGTGCATTTTCCATTTCAAGTTTATCTTGCATAATGTTTCTGACCTGTTCTTCACAATCAGCCCAGGTTTCTCTCTCCTCACCAGTCTTTTCTGGGACTCCATATACAACAATATTATCCCTCCTAGACCGATTTTCTAAATCATCGGTTTTAGAAAACAAGTCATTTGTTTTGGTTGCTAAGGATTCCTAAGGTATTTCTACTCGCTGTTTTAAAGTTTTTACTCCTTTTTGTAAACCCTTTACGATATCTGCAAGTTTCTTGACTGTAATGACAGGACCAGGGTTAGTTTCCACATCACTACAAACAGTTATTGTCAACATCATCATAACGAAAACTGTAGCCACACAAAGTGACATACTCAAAGTCGGGATTCTAAACTTCACCTTTAGTTTTCTAGGCGAAAAGGTTCCAATTTTCACTCTCCATGTGACAATGTCCACTCCAATACTGCTTTTAGTGAGTTAACTTGCCTTCTTTTATGACTTTACAAAAAAAATATTGATGAGCTCGTTGTTTCATGTAACTCTCAGGGGAGGTCACTCTATCATGCAAGTATATGAAAATATATTAAAAGACATTGCATAGTCTGTGCGCATTAAGCTAAAGAAACAGTTTCACTTTTTGTGTATTGTATTCCAGACATATACGGTCACAGACTGGTTATATTTAAATAAATACATTTAGCTACCGATGCTAAGGTACTCATTATTATATTGATACATAAAATACAGTGAAAATACAAACAATGAGAATAATAACATGCTAATAGAACACGTTGACAACCAAGTCACGTGATACAGTAAACGTTTTACACGTTGGACAATAAACATCCATGACTTCCAGAACTAAAAGGGCGTACGATTTTAGATTGATACTTAAACGACTGGAATACCATCACTAATATGTTATCCGGGACTCTCTATTATTTACTCTTATTCAGTCTTATATTTTGATGTCTAGTTTAACTACACGAAGTTAACATATCGCAGCCAAATCGTTGATTTCAAGTTCATTGTACCAACAAAGTAGTAAAGTTAGAATAATTTTAAGTAAGTTTTAACAAAATGGCAAGACAGAGAGATACTCCCGCATTTATACCGGAGACCTCCTGTCCACGTTTGAAAGCATGTCGATACCCGTCTGTCCAGTTTGGAATCTTTAACAATGTCTTACCACATGTTGGTCATTTTATGCAAGTTTTGATGTCCTGGTTTGCTTTGTTAATTGTTATAGGCTGGTCAGCAAAGAGGGTCAACAAGGGTCAACAAGGGGAGTCATCTGGGCCCAGGAGGGGAGTTAGCTGAGCCTAGAGGGAGTGTTTTGAGTCTGGCTAGAGGAGTCATGTGAGCCTAGGCCCTTATGACTCGAGAGTCTTTTGAGCCTATGCCCATATGACTCTAGAGTCAAATTTAGGGGGAGTCGTTTGAGCCTACTACATCGGTTCTAGAATGTCAATAGAGCTAGCTGATTAACATCTACCAGCTCGTTTGACTGGTTTCGACAGCTTGCATCTCGAAGCGTTACGTATAATGATACAAGTGAAAACTGAAAACTATGTAGCGTTTACTGGCTTGGGAATATGAAACCAAAAGTAGTAGAATATATTTGAATTTGATAAAAACTTGGCAGAAATATATAGTAATTTTGACACTTTTATGGTATGACAGACAAACTCTGTACCCTGAAACAGGAAACAGTGATGCACAGTGACATGCTTCTGGCTGGACCTTGAAAAACACTAGCGTTGTACAGTGATATACATGTGCATATGTGGATCCTGAACAGACAACACTGTTATAGTATGACAGGCAATACTCTGTACCCTGAAACAGGAAACAGTGATGTACAGTGACATGCTTCTGCCTGGACCTTGAAACACAATAGCGTTGTACAGTGATATACATGTGCATATGTGGATCCTGAACAGACAACACTGTTTTACAGTTACATACATCACTCTCGACCCTGAAACAGAGAAGTGTTGAACATTGACAGGCGTCTTTCTGGACCCTGAAACAGATAACAGCGTGAAACGAACAACAGAATTGTACATTGACATACATCTCTCCGGACCCTGAAACAGACAATAGTGTTGTTCAGTGACGGGAAACTCTCTTGACTCTGAAATTGACATCAGCGTTGCTCGGTGACAGGCTTCTCTCTATATCCTGAAGCAGACAACAGTGTTGTACATTGACATACATCTCTCTTGACTCTGAAATAGACAACACCGCTGTACAGTGACAGATGTCTCTCTGAACCCTGAAACAAACAGCACAAAGTCCAGTTTCCACCCTTGCCGAATTACGGTGGAATTTTCTGGCTCGATCGTAGCGCCACCAGTGGCTATTACGAGTTGACTAATTGACCAATCACTTGCATTTGCTTCAAACAAAATGGCGGCGCCCAGCCAGGACGAACTGATCAATAATCAAGATCTATAGAGTAATAAAACGGGTTTTACCTCGCGAAGTGCATCAGATCACTTGAGTACGTTGATTAAAAACATGAAAAGATTTGGAAAGTATGTGTCGACGCCCAGTTGTTGGTACACTGCTTTGCAAATCCTGCAGTCGACCGAAATGTGCACCTTTAATTCCATGTTGTTTGCGAAGCGGTTGTCTCGTTCGTCACGCGATTTTGATTGAACTGTGCATAGACCCGTTAGTCCAGCCAAAATATAACTCCATAATTCTAGCCTAGTTCGGCAAGGGTGGAAACTAGACTTTTATAGTCAGATAACGCCGTTCCCTCGGGAAGATGCATTTGTGTGCACTTATTTGGGGGACTGGCTACATCATTCTGGAACAGCGCCACAGGGTCTGGCAGAAGTACAGCGAGAAGCGTTACTATCCGCATTGAAACATCACTGATTATATTGGCCAGTTAGATACCTACGATATTGGTTTAATTGATCCAAACGTGAAAGCATAATAACTCATTGGAACATCACTGTTCTACATGTTTTACATACTTACTGCTTGGACTGGGTGTGCCGGATACACTTTGAGATACCATGGTAAAGGACCGATTATGTGCTGTTCAATTCGTTGAGGGTGAAATGTGTCTCTTCCAAACTTGTCATAAGACACGTAGGCTTTGGCGCCTATCGTCTCCATACAGCGACCAACATCCACATCCTCATCGTTACCGTCTTTAGCGCAAGGTTCATCCTCTCCAAAGCCTTTCTCAACAAGCAAGCGTAGAGCTTTCTTACTAATAGCATAACTTCCGCCCCCACTCATATAACCATTGTGAACCAAAACCTTAAAATGATAACCAATGTAAACCGGTTCAAGTGGGGAAAATTTTGATAAAAGAAAACGTAGATTTTCCATGATCACATAACTGTCGTCGTCCGCTTTCAGGACCCAGTCGTAGGCATCACCGTATTCCTTGTAAACCGTTTCCAAAGCTTGCATAGTTTTGGCTGTCAGATGATCGCGACCGTCGAGGACGTCCAATGATATATGATTGAACTTGGAATGGTGAGCAACAAACACGAACAGCAGTTTGTTACATCTTGCCCCCCACGTCGCATTCACTGCATGGGCTTTCGTATGTTCGTTCTGGATCGTTGTTGGGACAACACATAAGATCCGTACTCGTTTCTGTAATTCTCCGGAAATTGTGTTATTAACCAGGACTGCAAGAAAGACAATTCTGATAATATACTGAGTCAAATTAAAAACTTCAAATTTTTAAAAGTAATCCCATATATGATATACAACGGACAAATGTATCAGAGAAGGTAATTTTTAATCATTAATGTCCAAAGAAGGATTTTAATTAATGGTGGTAACCATAATTTGTTCCAAGCACCTACGGTATTCGGTAATAACATCAACAGTTTAAATCATAAGTCCCAAGCACGAGAATCTGATGGCACACAAGTTCAGTAGCGTGTATGGCCGCCATGTGCGTTGACAACTGCCACACAACGTCTCCGCATGGACCTTGTGATGCTTGTGAACACATGTTGCTGCAAAATAGTGCCAAGATCTTGCAAATTCTGTGGTTGGTTCTGGAGAGTGCGCAGACTTCTGCCAAGAACATCTCAGACGTGTTCGATGGGATTGAGGTCGGGAGACCTTGACGGCCAGTCCATGACGTTGACTCCCGCATTCTGAAGGAAATTCCTTGTCAAAATTGCTGTGTGGGGTCTGGCATTGTCGTTTTGGAAGATCAAACCGGGTCCATGTGCTGCCATAAAAGGCAGAAGTTCTTGTACCAGTACCTGGTCGCGGTAAGCAGCAGCGTTGAGGTTGCCACGGATGACAAGAAGCCTGGAACGTGCATTGCCACCGAAAGCACCCCACACCATGACACTTCCGCCGCGAAACCTGTCAACTTCCTGTACACAACACTGGGCGTAACGTTCATGGCGGCGCCTCCACACCCTCGCCCTACCATCAGCAAATCGAAGATTAAATCGGGATTCATCACTGAAGACGACTTCATTCCTCTGAGTCCATCGTTAGTGTCGCTGTGCCCACAATTGACGTTGACGTCAGTCAGAATCGGCCCGCAGTATGGCCGTCGTGCTTGAAGGTGAACAGTTCTCAGACGGTTTCGAACAGTTTGCGCGCTCAGTCTACCCCTAAACAGTTCATTTCTGGTTGATCATGATGTAGCCGTCCAAAATCGGTTACGGAGGTGACGTAAGACAATATGACGATCCTCTGCATGTGACGTCACACGCGGTCGACCTGGCCGAGGGCGATCAGCGGTGGTACCCGTTTGCTGTAGACGCGTCTGTAAATCATAAACCATCCGTCGACTACAACACATCGTCCTTGTGACTTCAGCTACGGACGTTCCCGTCTGCAACATGCTGATGGAACGTTCACGTTGCACATTTGAAAGGCGTTGCATGACAAATGGCCGTAAAGTCTTTTGTTTTTCTTTTTTTGTTAATGACTGCTAACAAGTATGGCTGAAAACACGTGCGGTATTAAGGTCACGTGACCAGTTGCACGTGAAAAAACACTTTTGCTGTGCACATGATTTTGATCGATTCACCAGCACAAAAACGGGTGTTATCTGGAGACAATACGTGGCCATTACTGTTTAAATACACAATAAGGGCCCACAATGATAACTGGTCAAAATGTTGAAATTTTAGGATTGTGGAGTTTTTAATTTGGTTCAGTTTATATCAAAGAAAGCATTTCGACATACAAAACAAAATCTAAACTATGTGAACGCCACTCCACAACAAAATGGACGCGAGTTACTTACTTTCTTAAATTAGGAATTTAACGTGCGCTTTCCGACATATGCGTATTTCGCGCACGGGCCCGACAGGCCATTTGGTGTTTGGTCGAAAAGGATATGTCCGAAAAGGCTTTTCAACTGAAGTCATTCGAATTAATATCGGGGTCCGGATCAATGAGTTTTTACTGTATGGGTATTGTATCAACACCGAATAGATGGTATCAGTCAGAGAAAGCATGACGTCAGCTGACCTTATGTTACGTGTATCTTAAACTCGTCAACACTCGCAACACTTTTCAGGTATCATGTTCCATCGGTTAACATGACGTTCAATTAGGCCGACATTACGTTACATGAATCTAAAGACGTCAGACCACAATCCTTATCTCCAGAAAGATTTCTCAAGTCTTACGTGCCATCGGTTAACATGACGCTAGCTGAGACCGACATTATGTTACGTGTATCTAAAGACGTCAGACGGCTCTCCTTATCTCTGGTAAGATTTCTCAAGTCGTACGTGCCATCGGTTAACATGACGTTGAATGAGGCCGACATTACGTCCCGTGTATCTAAAGACGTCAGACCACTCTCTTTATCTCCAGAAAGATTTCACAAGTCTTAAGTGCCATCGGTTAACATGACGTTGAGTTAGGCCGTTATTATGTTACGTTATCTAAAGACGTCAGACGGCTCTCCTTATCTCTAGTAAGATTTCTCAGGTCTTAAGTGCCATCGGTTAACATGACGTTGAATTAGGCCGATATTATGTTACGTTATCTAAAGACGTCAGACCACTCTCTTTATCTGAACAGGGACACATATTTTAAGTCTTATATTCTCATGTCTGATAAATGGGGTATGATCCGGACTAATCCATTTACCACTTGGGTTACAGGCATTAGACATTGGGAGAACTCAGACGTGACATTTGTGATTTTAAGCTATCTGACAAATGAGATGTGTGACAAATGGGGTGAGACCCAGTAACCTACCGCATCTTGTCAAATTGCTTACGTGGTCAAATTACGACAAACGCCAGCCAGTGCATACTTATATATGAGCATGCTACTACCACCTTCCTTGTCAACTACAACAACAGATGCATCTATAGTTTAAAGATCACGGACTGACACTATAAACAGAGCAGCCAAAAATAATAATGAAATTATATCAATACACGAAAATAGAAATAATATCAATACAAAAACAGAAATTCTACAAATACCAAAACTTGCAATAGATATGTGTACCCTACTCACATACGTGAGTCCCAAAGAGGGACACGTCAGCCGAAATTGCTATGGCAGAAGGCGACCTTTAAACACTTTAAAGAAACAACAACTGAGCTACCTTTTCATCACGCTGCATCCTCCTGTTAAAAAATAACACGTGCAAAAGATACGCCTACGCCATATTGCAGACACACAGAAGATACGTATACACTACTTTGCAGAAACACTGATGTTAGGTATACACCACATTGCAGACACACACATGATAGGTATACAACATATTGCAGATGCAAAGGAAACGTATACACCACAATATAGACACGAACGATACGTATACACTATATTGCAGATACACAGACTATACGTATACACTTTTTTTTGCAGACACACAGACGATAGGTATACACAACATTGCAGACAGACGATACGTACACACCATATTAAGACACACAGACGATACGTATACACGACACTGCAGACACATAGACGATACGTATGCATCATGTTGCAGATACACAGAAGATACGAATACACCACATTGCAGACACACAGAGGATAACACTGGTAAAGCAGGTGATGTGCACTTGGCATCCTCAGTTATTAGGAACCGTTCAGAAAGGTATTATAGATAAGGGAAAGAGCTTTCCAGGTCAGTAGGTCAGTTATGCCGTTACAGGACATTATGATTTGACAGAGCATATCCAACTTTGCAGAATTGGAATTAAATCCATCAAAATATCTTAATCGCTAACGACAAGACCATATGCATATGGATGTAGACACGTTACTGACTGTGAGGACTCAGCGGACGCGGCTGGCTACATAGAGGTGAACAGGGAATAGATCTTGGAGTTCAGTCCAGAGCAGTTCGAGTTTAGACGTCAAAAAGACGTCAAAAGATTGTAGTTCGTGTTAGTCTGCCTGGCGCACGGCATTAAGACGAGGGGTTAAAACAAGGATTTACCATCTCATAATTAGTACATTGTGTCTGAATGGGATATTCATTGAAAACTGAGGTATGGTATTTCAATTGGCTGGTACGATTAAACTGACACATGCACAGGAACACGACTAGTATGAGCAGCCACACGAGCATGCATACATAAGTGATATCTTAAACGAGAAGTTAATCCCATTTCACATAACCCCACTAGCTAACTGTTTTGTACAATACGTTTAATCATATTAAAACCAACAACAAAATCCCTTTCGATTTGCGAACGCCTCCGTGGTCCAGTGGTAGAGCGTCCGTCCCGAGGGAGGGTGGTCCGGGGTTCGACCACCGGCTGCGTCATACCAAATTACGTTAAAAGATGGTACATGTTGTTTCCCTGTCTGGCGCTCGGCATTAGGGGGCTAAAACAAGGACTGGTCACCTCGGAGTCTGTAAACTGTGTTTGAATGGGGCATTATTCATGTTAAACTGCGGCATGGTATCTCAGAAGGCTAGCACTATACATCGGCATCAGTCCTGACTAGTACAAACAGCTACATATAGGCACACGTGCGTGCACGTCGCTGTATAAGTGCAGTAATCTCGGACGCGACGTTAAACCCCATTTCAACTCACCTTTCAATTTGGTTATTCCAATATGTTGTGATAAGAGCATGTTTTTAATCTGCATTTAGAAGATGCTTAAGAGATATATATTTCCAATCAAGATACCACAGTTTGGAGACGTCTACTTTTTTAGTGCATTCTGCTAATATAAAATCTCTTCTGCAACCCGAATTATACATAACAGTACTCAGAGACAAACGATTAGTTGGAGCAATGTGTAAATTTCGAATATCTCTTTACAACGTTCGAGTCAACATTATTCGCAAAAGGTCATTGTTAAATATACTTCATACAGAATCCATATGCAAAGAATGTGACCTGCATTTATTAGAGGATGAATACCATGACATTGTCTTTTTTTTGTGTAAGAAATATATTCAATTGTGAAATACTTTTCTTACCTCATAACACAGAAATATTATATAGGTAATATTACGTTTGCAAGTTTATTTAAATCCTCTGATATTATTGTCCTAAGCTTGATAGACCCGTGAAGATTCCGGGGTAGAATAGATCTTCGGCAACCCATACTTGCCGTAAAAGGCGACTATGCTTGTCGTAAAAGGCGACTAACGGGATCGGGTGGTCAGGCTCGCTGACTTGGTTGATACATGTCATCGATCCCAATTGCGTGGATCGATGCTCATGCTATTAATCACTGGATTGTCTGGTCCAGACTCGATTATTTACAGACCGCCGTCATATAGCTAGAATATTGCTGAGTGCGGCGTTAAACAACCAACCAACCAACCAACCGGGGTAGAATAGGTCTTCAGCAACCCATGCTTACCGTAAAAGGCGACTATGCTTGTCGTAAAAGGCGACTAACGGGATCAGCTGGTCAGTCTCGCTGACTTGGTTGATGCATGTCATCGATCCCAATTGCGTGGATCGATGCTCATGATATCAATCACTGGATTGTCTGGTCCAGACTCGATTATTTACAGACCACCGTCATATAGCTGGAATATGGCTGAGTGCGGCGTTAAACAACAAACAACAATGAGTGACTAATTGGCATTTAGCTCACTCACTATATTTATATAAATTATTTTTAATGAGATCGACAGAGATGTAACACTCTTGACATGTGACCTAAAACCTAATTTATCTTACAACTGTACTATGGGCCATGTGGCCTGAATTACGAAATAAACTTGATTAAATTTGCACGTTTAGGCTTTAATTAATACAATTTATATATAACAGTATATATAAAATTCCAGTCAATGTGCAAAACCAGTCAATGCGTAAATGTGACTGACTTATTGCGCGCATGTTTACCCACGTACATGGATGGTTGCATACATGTGTGTATATATGGCATGAGGGATGGGGTATTTGGGTATCTACGTATATTAAACGTATGTATTCCTCTGTGTGTGCGTGCCTGTATGTATGTTAGTGGATGTGGGGTTGTGCATGTGTTTTTGTAATAATTATATATTGTTATATATATGACATAAATATGAACGTATATATAATGACTTTTGGATATTTGATGTTGTGTTGTACGTGGTGTATCATAGACCAGCAAATGGCCGGATGGTTATTTATACTCACTGTTCCGCAAACTAGCATTTCTCCATGTAAGGTCTGATGTGTTTCGGATGGCTTCTGCAAATGTTATGATGTACTGGTAACATACTGTCAAGAATGGCATGATATAATACAAATGACATTTTCATGATGTCGAGGTGTGTTTGTTTTACACTTTCCAAATTTCCAGGATATATTTGTCTTATACTTTTGGAATTGTCTGTGTTGACATATTGGTAACATACTTTCAGCAATATGTCTCTTGGAACTATTCTCTGAATGTTGCTTCCACGTGAATATGCGGGTTAAGATGGGTCTTCAGCAACCCATGCTTGTAAGAGGCGACTAACGGAAGGACAGGCTCGCTGACTTCGTTGGTGCACAATTTCGTTTCTAATTGTGTAGATTGATACTCATGATGGCAGTCACTGGATTGGCTGGCCACACTCGATTACTTACAGAACGCCGACATATAGCTTGAATATTGCAGAGTACGGCGTTAAACAACAAACAAACAAATAAACATCCTTTTTGTATTGAGACTCACGTGGTTGTTCTCTCCGACACACATAGCACACATACAGGAGCGCGACAATTACCAAAGATGGTATGCTCCACCATTTCGCACGAGGATTATGGAATCTACAAGGAATGAAAGACATTATTAGATGCATAGATACAGATTATTTACATCGAACGCACAGAAAACCTCAGATTAAACCTTAATTGGTGTGAATGTTTCAGAAAGCAGGATAACAAACTGTTTCTTATGTGATTTTTGTCTAAATGTTAAGAAAAACGGGTAAATTGTCATTGTAGTGACACATATCCTGACGAAATATCAGCTCCCTTGGCTTTGTTGTTTCTGAGAAAACGATGCTATAGAATAACACTCCATTTAAAATAAAGCCTTACAAGCATTATCATACTAGCATAAACAAGTCTAGATCTGTGTGCCTTGTGTTGTTACACATATCAAGAAGCGGCAAAAATAATAACAACACAAAAACAGCAATAACAGCAGTAGTTGCCCCAGGGGGAGGCACAGAACACGCCCAAGAATATCTTGGACGCAACAACTTAAGTCCACACTTCTTGAGTGTGCGAAAGCAACAGGGTGGCAAAAAATACCAAGAGTAAATGGCAAATTGTTGAAGCAGCATTGGGACAAAGCCATGCCAATGTACATCTCACAGAACAAAACATCCGTGACCAGCTCCCGCGACTGAAACTATATTTGCTCCGTGAACTTGGTGGGCTAATAGCCAACACTCGTCAGGCGCCTTTGCAGGAACCCTCAGTTCTAACAGTAGCAGACCCGAAATTGCAAATGAACGTTTGCATTATTCTTCCTAAATTACCTGATGAAAATGTCACTGATGACCCACACATGGGATCATAAATGAAATTCCTGATGGTTGCCCCGAAGATTTTGAGTTTTCTCCCTCTTCCGACCCCTCTTTTGTCAATGATCTTACTAATGGTCCTTTGTATATTTTGTTTATGTCATCCTATAATCAAACCTGTGATTTACCCATTGAGAAAGGGAGGCCAATTAAACATTTTAATAAATTCCACAGAAATTGATAAATTAAATTAAATCATCACTGTCACTCTCAATGCGGACTGTTCATTAACTGTTGCGTGTATGTTGCTGCTCGAACATTGGAGGAACTCCATACAGTTTCCAAAGACAATAAACCACAAAAGGGTAATAAACAAAATCTTCCATAGAAAAACCGGTTCCAAATAAAACTAAACGAAACAAGGAAAGACATATCTTGGATAGAACTTTGCCTAAAAGTACATTCCTCGGGGCAATCAATGTCAAAACGGCAAAAATCAGTTTGGAAAACTTTAAAAACAAAATACAAGACAACAGAGAAGATTCTTAATCAAATTCTTGATTCTATGAAAGCAAAAATAAAGGTTTGGACAAATAGAAAGTGGGACAAGAAAAATAATTTCATCAGACAAAACAAATTGTTTAAATCTAATGAAAAACATTTTTACAGGCAATCAAAAACATCCAATGGCAGTAATGAGAAACGACCCACCTTGGATTCCAGTGAAAGGTTTTGAAAACAGTTGTGGTCTATACCCAGCATCTGTAACCTCGAGGAGGTGAGGTGAAATGGGGTTTAACGTCGCGTCCAAGATTATTGCACTTATATAGCGACGTGCATGTACGTGTGTGTGTTTGTGTGGCTGCTTGTACTAGTCCGGACTGATGCCGGTTTATAGTGCTAGCTCATTGAGATGCCAGAAAGGGATGTCTAGGTTGTAAGGATCAACTACTAATTCAGAAAATGACCTTTGAAGAGGCTAAAACTTACCACCGTAACCGCTCAATATGTTGGTTAGACTACAGAAAAGCTTATGATTCTGTACCTCACGAATGGATTTTGAAGTCTCTGGAATGTATTGACTTCCCCGACCAACTACTTGTTTTACTCAAGTCTTTAATGACTTGCTGGTCAACTCAACTTGAGATGTATTCGCAGGGGCAGGTGGTGACTTCGGAACCCATTTCTATTAGAAGAGGAATATTTCAGCGCGATTCTTTTCGCTCTTTGCTTTTCTGTTTGTCACTAAATCCTTTAAGCTTTTTTTTGCTTAGCAAAGAGGAAGGTTATCATCCTGGACCTCCTCAGCACAGATCCCCAACACACCTTACTCACATCCTTTACATGGAAGACCTTGAACTTATTGCCAATGGAGGATCCACATTAAAAAAACAGATTCTCCTTGTCGAGTCCTTTTCTAATGATATCAGCATGTTCTTTGGCCTCGAAAAATGCAACATTCATCATCTGAAACGTGGCAAGGTAGAAGAGGGTGGATCAGTCAGTTTACTTGGAGGAGTTATTGAGGATCTCGTAAAAGGTCAGGCCTATACGTACTTAGGGATGCAGATTAGGGACAAAGTCCAGAATGCCAATATCAAGGAAAAACTTTGGACAGATTACAAATGTAGACAAAAGAAAATCTGGAGTTCAGAGCTGAACGCTCGCAATAAAGTCAAAGCCACAAATACTTATACTGTAACCGTCCTTTCATATTCTTTTGGTTTTGTTGACTGGACGAAACAAGAAATTCAGGGTACTGACACCCTCGCACGAAGATTTATGTCAGATAATAGATCCCACCACCCTCGCTCTTCCCTCAATCGCTTATATTTACCAGTCATTATGGGTGGACGTGGTTTGATTAACGTTGGGGTTCTTCATGATAGAATTGTTTTGTTCACTTTTGCACACATTAATTTGTCTGAGGATCCCACAGTCTTCTAAAACGAGCCAAGGATGTGGGACATAATCTCAATGTCGGTGTTGATTTTGTTGATGGTTTTTCGTCTGCTGGACGGTACAGAAATGAGTGTCAACCAAGCCAAGTGCCACATCAAATATGCCCAGACTCAGTTTTTCAAAAAGAGGCTATCTGAACGACCACTGCATAGAGTTTATGTGCAGTGTGTCGGCTGACCTGAAAGGTGAAACAGAAGGCTTTCTGTTTGCTGCACAGGAACAGTCACTTCCAATTCAAGTGTGAGTGAGTATTGTTTTACGCCGCTTTTAGCAATATTCCAGCAATATCACGGCGGGTTCCCACTCGAAACCGTCAATGTGTGATTTTGCATCAAAATGTAGATATGAAATGTAGATTATGTAATGGATTTAATGAGACTGTCCAACACATTGTCAATTGATGCCCAGTTTTGGCACAAACACAGTACCTTAAGTGACATGATGGCATGGCTTGTTCATTTTATTACCGTCCTTGCCATGCTTGTGGTTTTGACACAGAGGTCCATCCATGGTACGACCCGGAATATGTAGAGGGCGTCATGGAAAATGATAAATACAAAATTCTTTGGAATAGGCCAATTTACAGCCTCTGACGTATCCAGTCTGAGGCTGTTTAACTTTAACTTTAACTGTCCCCGTGTTTTTTTCAGGTGAAAATTGACTTGACTTGACATTCTATGTGTTTGTGAATAGTGCGAACACTTGGGATCATCACTATATGATCGTGATTCGTTACACAAATACTCATGATATAGTTGGATCCGTAAAGTCGGCAGAGATGTCTTTTGAATATGGAAAGCGTTTTGTCGGAGATAAAATGACGACATATCACAAGCATACTTAGATCGTTGGTGAGTGAGTGATCGAGTGAGCTAAATGCCAATTAGTCACTCGTTGTTGTTGTTTAACGACGTACTCAGCACTATTCCAGCTATATGACGGCGGTCTGTAAATATTCGGGTCTGGACCAGACAATCCAGTGATTGACATCATGGACATCGATCCACGCAATCGGCATTAATGACATGCATCAACCAAGTCAGCTAGTCTGACCACCCGATCCCGTTAGTCGCCTCTTACAACAAGCATAGTCGCCTTTTACGGCAAGCATGGTTTGCTGAAGACCTATTCTACCCCGGATCCGATTTGTCAGTCATGCGTATGCATCGCCCTTACTACAATTTGTTCAAAATAATATTACCTTCTAAAGAGCCACGTTTTCATGTTGTGGTGACTGAAACAAAAAAGTCAGCGGTTTAAAAATGGTGGCTCACATACAGAGGGGATGCAGGGAGGGGATGTCTCCTCCCTTTTCAGACATAAGAAACATTTACAACATGATATTTTATATATGATATAACATATTTTAACAAAGTTAATGTTTTTTATATGTTTTCCAAAAAAATCATACGACTACCAAACCCAAATTGCCTCGCGAACTTTTTCCATCATCTGTCATGTAAAGTTAACACCTTCATTACCTCAAAGTCGGAATCAGCAATGTATCCGTTTCGGCGGATATTCAAAACTGTTTTTTCTCACATATAATGGTTTGTTATTTGAGGCCTTGTCAGTGGGAACAACAGCAAACTTTTCATGTAGGTCAGCCAGGCTTTAGGTTTCAGCTGGCCGGGACACAATGGGTTTGTTTCATTTCTGTTTTCTCTTTTTTTAAATTTGTGCAATCTACCAATGACAACAGGATGCACAGATTTAACCCACCCTGAAAAACATTCAACAGGTTCCTCTTCTCTTTTGGCCCATTTATTGGCATTTATGCTTTGACAGCTTCCATATCGAGTTTGAAGTTGTGATCCCAAGTGGTAGGAGACTGCTCGCGACATTCAGGTCCATATTTGTCCCTTCATGGACAGTTCCCCACACAGACAGACATTTAGCCACACAGATATTTTCCCACATGGACATTTCCCCACACATACAAATTTTCAATCACAAACATTTCCTTACATGGACAGTTCCCCACACAGACATTTCCCTTCATGGACAGTTCCCCACACATACAGACATTTAGCCACACAGATATTTTCCCACATGGACATTTCCCCACACATACATTTCCCCACACAGACAGTTCCCAAGCAGACATTTCCCCACACATACATTTCTCCACACAGACAGTTTCCCACACAGACATTTCCCCACACAAACATTACCCTACTCAGTTCCCCACACTGACATTTCCCTACTCAGACCGTTCCCCACACTGACATTACCTGGGCATTTCAGGATGTCCCCATTCCCCCACACCCAAGTTTGTTTTGTGAGAGTTAATAAAAGGAAGTTTGGTGGTGTTTTTCTAACATTTATCACTAACCATAAGATGATATTGGAAATAAATATAGACTGGCATGCTGTATAGGGATTGTGATCAGAACAATTAGGTGTGACCATATTGACATGATATCATTTAAGGGTTCATGTTTTTTTTTACAGTTGCCCAATAATACTGATTATTGATGCTAAGGGACACAAAAGGTAACTGTTATTTTTAGAGGAAATTGGTAGTGAATGTGGACCCTTCATCAGATATAGTCTTGGGATTTAAAAATGGGGTGTTAGTCTGCCACAAACAATATATTGAATATATTGTTATAAGGTGTTGAATATTTTAAGAATGTACTCATGTGAGGAAAATCTGGTTTTGCAGCTGTGAGCTAAAAGCATACCCAGCCTCCATACAAAATATTGAATTGAAATAAGTTAACTGTTGTGTAACCTTTGGATTACCTTTGTCGAAGTGTCAGTTCAACATAGTGAAAAAAGACAACCATCAAAGAAAATGAATACCATTTTCAACGTAAAAAGCGCACCGCGCTAATAAGCGCTCACGGCGATATTTGCTAATATATTGGCTAGTGAACAGTCCCAATAAGCACCCCTTCCGATTGATAAATGTACACAAGACTATTTATTCGTGCATAATACGTTTGTTATATGCACCCTTAATTATGGGCAATTAAATTCTGGAAAGATAATATCCGTCGTTTATAAACGTTTTAGGCTGTCAGCATAAAGCACGAAATTTACGATCTTTCAAATCTGTTGTTTTTCACCAAAATAATATTCTATTAAGAGCCCCTATTTCTAATTTTGAGAGCGCCCTGGGTGCTTATTATGTCGAATACGGTATATGAATATGTTATTTGTTACCAAAATTCTATTGATATATCATGAACTGTAATCCATTCATGTACATAATTAAAATTCATTGATTATTCAAATAATTAACAACTATTATAAGGAACAGAAATCATACATTATATATTAACATTTGATGTCCCTCTTGAAGTTGACAGTACATGTATTATGCTTTGTCTTTACCAGTAACAATCTCACTGCCAAATCTCTCAGCCTTTTCAGGGGGCACGGGTGGCCCAGTCGTCTAAGGCGCCGCGATTCGCTGTGCAGAATTGCTTCCCTTGGGCACGCCAGAAACCTATGATTGTGGGTTCGAATCCCGGTTCGCCCCGATTATGTTTCTAGGTTTGTCAGCACCATACCCGTGCTCCTGGGTTTCACCGAAGTGGTAAACGTCTGAGACCTGCATCACTTCGGGCTTTCCTCCCACATTAAGCTGACACGCCGTGATATAACTGGAATACTGTTAAAAGCGGCGTTAAACCCAACTCACTCACTCACTCACTCACTCACTCAGCCTTTTCACTGTCCAAACGTCTTGCCTCTGATCTAGTTAGAGCTAATATTGATGTTATCACTTCATTATGTTCAGGTCTAGCATATGTATATCTAATCTTCATGACTTAATACACTCTTCAAATAAGGATATTTATTAACCATATGTAAGACTAGCTACACAGAATATGCGTGAACACAATCAAATGAAATTAGACACAGTGATCGATAAAAGCATTGTCGTCATTGTCAGCATTAATTCAGTTCAGTCATTGCACATGTGTAGCCACAAGGGGGCGTCATGGTCAGTACCTGGTCACACCACCTCTTGCAGCCGTCACTGCTCGACACCTCCTTGGCACAGATTGCACAAGTCGTCGGATTCTTTCGTGGGGAATTCTTCGCCATTCCTCCTGTAAGGCGTTCGCGATTTGTGCCAGTGTGTGTGGACGCTGGTGACGTTGACGGACGCGTCGATCAAGTTCGTCCCACAAATGTTCAATCGGGTTGAGATCAGGCGATTTGGACGGCCATAGAAGGACATTGATGTTCTCATTAACAAGGAAATTAACTGTTGCACGTGCTGTGTGGGGCCGAGCGTTGTCATGTTGGAACAGCTCCCTCTGGCGGTCCAAAGTTGGGAGGAGGTGAGGATACAGAATTTGGTCTATGTATCGGTTTGCTGAAAGATTGCTCTGGACAACCACTAACTGTGATCTACCCGTGTAGGATATGGCTCCCCACACCATGACACCCTCCACCAAATCGATCCACCTGTCGAACGCAGTTCGCCACAAAACGTTCATGTCGACGTCGGTATACACGTTGTCTTCCATCCCGTCATTGAGGAAGAAAACGTGACTCATCGCTGAACCAAACGCGTCGCCAGTTCCTGAGATCCCATGCCTGTGTTCTGTTGCACTACCGGACAAGTTGTTGACGGTGTACACGTCGCAAGACAGGTCCAACTTTTGGTCGTCTCGCTCGAATTCCCACTTCCCTCAGACGATTTCTGATGGTTTGGTCGGAAATTCTTCGCATACCAGGCACTTGTCCTGCAGTGTCCGTTGCTGTAGCAAATCGATTCCGAAGGTGATGCAACCGGATGTACCGATCCTGAGCAGGGGTGGTCACTCTTGGTCTTCCACTTCTGGGGTGATCTTGAGTCGAATTAGTGCGGGTATATCGATCCTATAGTCGAGGTATGGTGCTTTGGTGAACGTTGAAGTGTCTTGCAACGGGACTCCCCTGCTTCCAAACGTCCAATGGTGATATTTCGGTCAGCTGCAGTTAATCTTGACATTTTTCGATCTCCGTTCACGTCAGAAAATTCGTAATGAACTGATGTATTTTGTAAGGTATTTTATAGTCAGTGCCTCTAATCTTGTTTCCAACACTTTGCACGTGCATTGTGCTAAAAACTTTTTCTGAAAGCAATTTCCGTGCATCCTTTGCATTTTTGCTGATAAACGTTTACAAAAAAACATTTTGAGATGTGTTTGCGCGCAATGCACAACAAACATGACATGATTAACGGGAATCAAACAGAAGAGTTGTCTTTATGAGGGTTGCTTGGAAAAAAATCTAATTGGAATTCTCAAAACACCTATGCGTTTCTTTTTTTTAATAGTGTATGTTTGTTTATTGTTAGGCTCAACATTCTCACTTCACCCTTCCCCTCGACTGTGACTGAAGTTTTTACTGTGATGTTATATATTGCAGGTTCCAATCCCACCATATAATAGTAATATGTTCTTGTATATTGAGTGTCCTTCTACTTCTACAACCTATGCTAAATAAATAACTTATTCATTTTCATGATTTTCACAATACCATGAGCCTATGATGTGTAAAATGAATGAAGAACTTAGTAAAAAGGTTAAATATCACTTTGTTCAAGATAATGGTATGCGTATGAGTAAAAATAATAGAGAATATTTTCATTACAATTTGGTTTAGTCTCATGACGATCGTTTGTGCGCATCATTATTTTTGCATAAAAAAATCCCTCTGTAGTAGCAGTATTGGGTATAAATCTGGTTCCAGTGGAAGTGGTCCAGAATCCCCATTACTTATACTACTCATGATGTAGTCATCCTTAAAGAAAACTAAGCAATCTTAGCAAGGCTTTCGTTCCACACCGCGCGTAACCATTATGACGTCACATCGCTCATTGTCGCGCAAAAGATAAGAGGTCACAGTCGTATATAGAAAAGCGCCAAATTTCAAGCTCTCTGTTCTCTCCAAAACATAAATACATTCTCTTTGTAGATTTCTATCTTGTCTTCTGCACTAAATGTATTGCGACACATTCATGGAATATTGTAGTAACCTCCACTGTGCATTTTGTAACCTGTAATTGTAGATATAATTATTTGAATATGCCTACCGATAATGACTGAAAAAAGAACTATTCTATGAATATAAGCTTCCGTGGGGATGCGGCCATCAAACCAGCTGTTTCAATCAGAGGGGGTTTATTGTGATTTAATAGCCTCTGATTGGAAAAGTCATCTGGAATTTGATCACAGCAAACATGGTGAAGGAGAAAGCTTCAACTGGGTGGAAAAAGTTGCCAGC